TAAAAATGTAGTGTTAAAAAAAAAAAAGAATACTTATTTGAACTATTTTATGGATGTTCAATTTTGTGAATACTTACTTAATCTAAAGAACATTGCATAAATAAAATTGAACGAATAAAAGTATTTTCTATGACAACACTAATTGCTAAAAACAAAAATGAAGAAAAGAAAAGGTGATCATTTGTTAGGGCAATTACAAAAATATCATTTTTTGTGTGCACATTTGCAAGAATGCCACTTAGGGGTGTCCATTTGCAAAAATACCACTAATTATATATTTATAAAGTCTATATCTTAAAATTATAAACCCTAAAAATGTTTTGACACCTAAAACCCCTAAACACTCAAAACTAAACCATAATAGAACATAATTAACCCAAACATAAATAATATAAAGAAAAAATAATTTTGAAAAAGTGGCATTTTTGTAAAGATTTCAAAAGTGTGGCTTTTTTTGTAAAGTGGCACTTGAAAAGTGGCATTTTTTGAAATTTCTCTAATTTGTTTCCAACATGTTTTTGTAACTGACAGACAAAAATGTATGATAGAATTTTTAATCTCCTTATGTTCAATTGTTCAATATATTTTTGTTTTTATTATAAATTTCAAGAAAATATATATTTTATATAAAAAGTGTTCTAAGTTTTTATTGTGACAAAAATTAATTTCTAACCAATATTTAGATGAAAAAAGAAAATATTATAAAAATATTTCTAAAAAATTATGAATAAAGAATAAAATATTGTAAAATATTGGTTAAAATTCCTTTTGTTTTATTTATTAAAATAAATATGAATTTAGTTACTAAAAGATTTTGTTATGATTTCAATTTGCGATATCATCTTTTTCTAAGCCATGTCACATGTTTTTAGTAAGAGTGATGGTAGAATTGACTTGTACGCAAATTTTAAAAATTCACTTTCCAAATAATAAATAATATATAAAAGATGATTTCAATTTGCCAAATCATTTTTTTTATAAGCCATGTCACATTTTTTTTAGTAAAATTGATTGTAAAGTTGACTAGTAAGCAAATTTTAAAAACTCACTTCCCAAGAGACCTGTACAGAAGATACATCTGAATATTAGAGCCGAGGGTTGTTCTATATATTTACTCAAGTCCATATCTCTCTGTCTGAAACACAGAATCCATTGTTAATTGTGTCTGAACTGAGTCTCCACTTCTCAAGACTACAATCTGACAAATTGTAATAACACCCATGAATCTCGACTTCACCTCTCTTTACTCTATCTCTTATCCATGGATACGTTATCAAGTTCATTACTGAATCCTTTATAGATTCCTGCACAAACAAAACAAAAACTCCAACAAATCAGCTACAAGTACAACAAGTGACCTGAAGTAATTGAGTAACGTTTAGTATTGTAGTTACCTTCTCACATTTTCTGCATTGTTCATCAAAGCTTAAGTGTGATGAAGCTGCTTGTGTTCTTAACTTAGCGGCTTTCCCATTCATAACCCACCTCTCTACTAAACTACACACACACACAAAATGTTGCAACAATTAACAAACAGTTTTGGGAGAACTTTTAAATTAAAAAAAATCACTTGTTTATATATCTTTACCTAGACTTTTGTTCTTGGTGGTTTTGATGGCTCATAAGCGCTGCGATTCCTCCACAATTGCTATGACCCATTACTATAATGTTCTCCACCTAGGCAACAACAACATGAGATATACACTCTTTTGCTGCAATTTTCACTCTTTTCTATATGCATAAGCTTACCTGAAGAGTAGTGACTGCAAATTCAAGAGCTGAATTGGTCTCTGTTGGCCCGTTCTTTCGAAAACAGAGGAAAATATCAAAAAGTATTAGCGATTTTTCTATGACAAAACTATAAGGAAAAAAAAGGATGAAGTGTGAAATGCACCTCAATCGGGGTGATGAGATTGGCGACATTTCGGATCGTAAAGGCTTCACCGGGTTGAAATCCTAGTACATAGGATGGACACACCCTTGAATCTGCACATCCTATCACCATGACCTGTAATTTCTTATCCTTTTTCAGTTTGGTTTAACCCGCGATCATTTCTTTGTGTTTATTTAATTGTAGTTAAAAAAAGGAATTGGAATAGTTTTGACCTTCGGTGATTGAGCTATGGCCAAAGCTTGAAACTTTTCTATCTCTGGTCTGATTTATGGATTTCATCCATCAAATTTGAAGTGAATCAGAGAAGAACAGAACCAAACAAATAAAAACAGAGGTTTTTTTTCCCTCGTGGGTGTGAATCAAGAACATGAGTTTATTGCTTACAGATACTTTTGTCTCTTGAATCTCAGAAATCTTTGTCTTATCTCACCAATTAAATCATAACTTGTCTCTATTTCTCTGCTTCGCTGCAAAAATTCATCTCTACTTCCCAATTCTTCAACCATGTTCGTCCTCCTACCATACCCAAAAGACAGAGTAATCTCTGTCTTTATTCTTTGATTCACACACTTTGTTTTACCAATTGCCAAAGATTCTAGCTTTATAAAAACGCAACTTTGAAGAAGAAGAAAGACTAAATTCAATTTTATCACCTGGGTAACAATCTGGTTGCTTTTACTTCACTACCAAGCTGAAACCGATCCGATCCCGTTTGCTGCAGCTTGAACAAATAAATTGAAACTTGTTATTTGAATAAAACCCAAAAAAATCAGATTTTAAGATCAAAGGTGTGGGAATGGACTCACTCTGTGAAGAAAACCATTTTTATGAACTGATGTTGCAGAGACTAATCGACGAGCTCTTCCACCTGAAACATGGAAATGATACGATGACGTTTAGAGAATCCGATTTAACTGATCAACTGTGACCAGCTTTTTTGATCATAAGACTCACATAGTGTTAACGCCATTTTTGCGGAATAGTCTTTTTCTATTTTTGCTAAGGTATTTGAAAGTATCGTTTAGATATTTGTTTGTGTATTACTCCGTCCATTTCAAAATATAAGTTGTTTTAGTTAAAACCGTAGATATTAAAAATTATTTTTTTATTAAAAAGTATTATTTAATATATTTAATAAAAATAAAACTATATAAAAAATTGCAAAATATTAATGATCACACAATATTTAATAAAATTAAAAAGTAACTTAACATTGTCAAAAAAAACTTATTTTAAAACGTAGAGAGTATTTATTCTTGGGTCTTCATCAACTCTGCAAAATGATGCCTCTTTTGGATTAGTAGCATAAACAATTGAAATTATAATCCGGATAATAAAAAAGAAACGAAAATATGAATGAGAAGTGTCACTAAATTTATATTTTGTTTCGATAATAGAGAAGTAAGAAAAAGAGAAACAGGTGGCAAATGCTTATCCAGAGAAAGAAAAAAAGTTACAAACGGGATACGTCTCATTGCCTTGTCACATGTCATATCCATTTGCAAGGCAACAATCCAATCACATTCAATTGTCTTTCAAAATAAATATCACACGTCATTGACTCCTCATCTTCTATTTATTTGAACATGCAATAAACTGATTCCGCTTTCGCATTTTCTGTTCTTTCTATAAACATCTTATGCATTTGAGA